AGGAATCCTCTACGAGTGTTCCTGTTCACTGATAACATGAAAACATTGTTTGTTTACTATAACTACAACTATGAATGAACAGGAGGTGATGTAGATCACTCCCATTCATTCATAATTGAGGATATAGTTAACATACCATATCCTCAATTATGTACACACACTCAGCGATCACTGATCGCTGAGTGTGTGTACTTTGCTTTTCTCTCTGACACGTTGTCACAGGAGGCTGATCGAGCGGTGTAGGGAGGAAAGCCCAGCCTCCTGTGACAGCGCTGTCTCCGCCCCCACACCGCTCTGCCGGACTGTGTGGGAGGAGAGGCGCCGGCCGCTCACAGTGCTCTTGTCCTGCAGCGCTCGGCCGGCTGTCACTTTCTCTCCTCCCCGCTGGAACACAGAGCAGAGCCCAGCGGGGAGGAAAGAAACCAGGGATGCGCCGATGTATCGGCCGAAACATGGCTCTTTTGGCATTATGCCAAAAGTGCCATTTTCGGCCGATATGTTTCGCCGGCCGATATATCGGTGCATCCTTATTTTATATAGATCACTCTCTCGAGTGCAGTGCAATTTGGATTTCATTGAGCTAATTTGTGTATATCCCATACAAACTGAACACAGCAGTTGGGTGTACCACTATCACCATCTCAAAAACTCATCTCTTCAGGGAAGCCTATCCCACCTCAGCATAACTGCCCTTTTACTTTTTCCATCAACTCAATCTAAACAATTATTACCTTTTTGTATCACTTGCCCCTCCTACTAGATTGTAAGCTCTCACCAGCAGGGCCCTCCTATCCCTATTGTACCGATATTGTATTGTATTGTAAATTGTATTGTAACTGTACTGTCTCCCCATTTTGTAAAGCGCTGCGCAAACTGTTGGCGCTATATAAATCCTGTATAATAATAATAATAATAATAATATTATGTTATCTGCATCTAAATATAATGTAAGGACAATATAAATATGCAAAATGGAACATTTTGGATGCTGTTCACCAATCTATTGCCCCTTTCACATGGGCAATGTCCGTTCTAATCATCTGGGGATCCGTGCACAGATTTCTTGCTAAACGGAGCAGAATGGATTTGTGCCATTTTGCAATTGAGGAAAATACTAACCAGACCCTTGTTAGGTCTATGGGGAGTCGGGAGTAAGCGGACATGTGGCTGTTTACATCCAATTACCTCTGATCCATCCCATTCAGGTTCAACTCGGTTCCATTTTTGTCTCGGACTCTCCAAGTCATTGGATGTAAAAGAATGTAGGTCCGTTTACATCCAACTCCCCATAGACTAACATTGAGCTTCCAGTCATGTCCGCCTGTTGCTTTTTGCTGTGTGAAAGGGACCTAAAGGTCTTGTTTATAATTTCCCTTTAACACCTTTTTACTGCATACATTGACGTGATCAGGACACATGGGAATGTGCAATATATCCACCAGTGCATTTTGCTGCTCAGTAATCATATGCAATACACACGAATGAAGATTTGTTTCTGTATAATGATCATACTCGTTATATTGCACTGTTTAGAATAAAGTTAGCAGACTAAACCTTCTACAAGCTGCATGTTGTGTGTTTGCAATGTGGAAATTCACAGAGCGTACTGAATACGTGCAGCGCACGCCTCCAGGTTGCTGTAGGATGTCTAAGGCTGCAGCCTGTGGGAGATGTCGCTTGACATTGAACCTGTGAGTGAGAAGATGAATTCTGACAGCGTCATTAGCTGTATGCTGTGTTTTCTGAACGTCAGCACCAGGAGAGGTTGGGGGGAGCTATTGATATACAGCTGTTTATTTAAAAGATACGTGACCCACACACAGCAACAAATCAGTGACTTTGTTTTTCCCAGTAGATAGGCTAATCCTTTTTAGCCTCTTAGTCACAGGTCTCTGGCTTTGGCTTTGTTGATTTGGTGCTGATCTAATGTTTAATTTTATCTTTCATTCATTGAACAGAGCTGACACGTTGTGATTTGTTGTCATAGAAAATGTAGTGTTCAGATAATTATGTGCGTGCAGGTTTTGGTCTAGTGTATTTGAAACAGGTGATTTAATATATCGCCATTATAGGCACAAGGAGAATGTATGTTTAAAGCGTATGTCAAGGCAAAATAAAAAAAAGCACATATGCAATACATCTCTGCAATACATGCACATTTCCCCATGTTTTATCCTGCAAGTGAGCACAGGTATATTTTTGCACTTATCTAACAGATGTATCAAAATGCTTTCAATGGTATATTTAACAGATCAAAAGGGACAAAATAAGAGAAGCTGATTATTAGTATTTACATCCACTTTAATTACAATATACAGTCATGGCCAAAAACATTGGCACCCCTGCATTTCTGTCAGATAATGCACCACTTTGCACAGAAAATTGTTGCAATTACAAATATTTAGGCATTCCCATGTTTATTTCTTTTGTTTGTATTGGTATGACACAAAAAAGTGGAGAAAAAAAAAGCCAAATCTGACACATATCATGGAAAACTCCAAAAATGGACTGGACAACATTATTGGCACCTTCTCCAAATTGCAAGAAATAATTGCATTCCAAGTTAGTGATGCTCCTGTAATTTGTAATTAAACTCACCTGTATCAATTAACAGGTGCTGAAAACACTCCAGCAACTAGAGTTGGGCTCGATGTTGGAGCCGAATGTGAGTTCAACTCGAACACCGCTAATTTGTGTGTTCGCCAAACACACGTACTATAAGGAGGTTCAGCAGTCTGTTCGACCGCTGAACGCCCCACAAGGCAATGCACCTTGTGAAGCCCTAATTGGCTAAAGGCTTGCAGACGTTGCCCAATCAGGGCTCAGTACTCTGTAAGAGCCATGATTAGGCAAAGTCATGATGACTTTCTCCAATCATGGCTCACCTGTCAGATGACGTGCAACTGTACACAGTTGGGCGGAGCTAGCTGTCCCGCTAATGAGGCCCTTGATCCCATCGGCATGGGGACAAGGTGCTTTTCCAGGGGCGACCCTGGAAAAGCACCCTCCCAGTGCCGAGGGCATGGGGCCTTGTATGGAAGAAGGGTGGGCGCTCGCTCATCCCCCCTCTTTTCCGGCCCTACCAGGCCTGTGCATGGATCAAAGGTCTGGTATGGAATTTTAGGGGGGTGGGGTTTCTTCTTAAAATTCCTACCAGGAATGTAAGGGTCTGGCATAACTTTTGGGGGAACCCCTTCGCTTCTTTTTTTAAATGGGGTCTCCCCTAACATTCCTATCGGACCGAAAGGGTGTGGTATTTTTTGGGAGGGGGAACTGCACGCTTTAAAAAGAAAGTCATTTTTGTTCTTTAGAAAGCCCATCATTCTACTGTTTTCAGAAAAACAAATGAGGCCTTTGAAGAAAAAAATATAGTCCGTACAATCAAACATGGTGGAGGTTCACTGATGTTTTGGGGTTGCTTTAGGCACTGGATGTCTTGACTGTGTGCATGGCATTATGAAATCTGAAGACTACCGAAGAATTCTGTGGTGCAATGTAGGGCTCAGTGTCAGAAAGTCGAGTCTCCGTCACAAAAGCACATGTCAAAAAGCACCCAGAAATGGCTTCAGACAAAGCACTGCAGAGTACTGGACTGGCCAGCAATGAGTCCAGATCTAAATGATCTAAATCCCATAGACCACCTGTGCAATCTGAGAGACCTGGAGCAGTCTGAGATACACGATATATATATATTAGGGCTGCGGAAATTAACGATTAATCCTTCGATTAATCGTTAATTTTTTTGATCAATCAAAGTTCTTTTGATCCATACTCACCTCTCCGCCGGCTTCCGGGTCTTCCGTCGATGTCCGCAACGTCACCGGACTCCTCCCCCCTTCCACAAGTGGCTCTGTCGGATAACGAAGGGAAGGGGGCTAGAGTCCGGTGACGTCGATGTCCGTGACGTCACTGGACTCCTCCCCCTTTCCTTCGTTACCCGATGGAGTTCACAGTGAGTACACAGCCTAACTCTCCCGGCCGCCCGGGAGAGTGGTTTAACCTGCTCTCTCTTTTTACCGGAAAGGTTTAATCTGCTCAATCGAGCAGATTAAACCTTTCCCTGCGATCGTTTTTTTTTCTTTTTCTTTTCTGACATCGGGAGCCGCGGCCTGACCGTCAGTCAGAAAAGAAAAAAAAAGGCATACGATTGCATAGCTAGATTCCCATTGGCTATTGCACTTTGCAATAGCCAATAACAAACTAGCTAATGCACCCGCCCACTGCTGCTGTCAATCAGCAGAGGGGGGACCTGATTTTTTTTCTATTAGGTCCTCTTCTGGTGATTGAAAGCAGCAGGGGGCGGGTTCAATAGCTAGTTTGCTATAGGCTATTGCAAAGTGAAATAGCCAATAGGAATCTAGCTTTGCATTCTCTTATGCCTTTTTTTTTATTATTCTGACAACTGCAACTGGCAGAATACTAAAAAAAAAAGTCTGCAGATAGCAAAGAAGCTATTGCTTCCTGTGCGATCTGCCATCATTTCAGGGGGGTGCTCTCTCCCAGCCCCCCCTAACCCTCCCTCCGCAGATGGGGGGGAGAGGGCACCTCCCTGAAACAGAGTGACACCTCCCTGAAATTGCTTATTTCAGGTTGGGATCCCTGGCATTGACCTATACACATACAGCACAGCAATTAATTAAGTAATAAAATGAACTAGGATCACACTAATCCAGCACGTTATTATTCTGAGTTGCCCCACTAAAGCGGCGGCCATATTGAGTGGGGCACGTGAGATTAATAACGTGCTGGATTAGTGTGATCCTAGTTCATTTTATTACTTCATTGCTGTGCTGTATGTGTATAGGCCAATGTAGTTGGATCTGTATGTGCGTTATAATTAATCGAAATTAATCGATTAAAAAAATTTCGATTAATTGAACAGGAAAATTTTAATCATTTCCAGCCCTAATATGTATATATATATATATATATATACAGCAGATATAGACAGATATAGATTTAGATATATAGATGAGATATTCATTAATGTTCAGATTTACCTTGTGTCTCCATGCTATCACATAGCTCAGTCTTGGCTTCCCCATTGGGTCTGTAGCCTCCCTTTTGGGTAAACTTGTTGCTCATTGTGGCTGCAGTGACAACCGCCTTCAGACTTCTTTTACGTTTGGGGACATTCAGTTCTGGATGGAAAAGGATAACGTAGACCTTGGGCATGTACAGCATACCTAAGGATACTGAGGCACTCAAACTCACTGATATTGTCAGTGTTGTGGTTTGGATATGCATCTAAGGACAAAAGTAGACATGATTAAAGTAAACATTGATCAAAACCACGAGAAAAAAGAACACAGAATATAAACAGTTGCCACAGATCACATTAGCCACCATTTGATGTATCCCTAAATGCTATACTTTTCACTATGCTTTAGTTAATTGTTTGTAAAGGAGCATGCAGTGTCAGACATAAAGGTCCATAATGTATTCTCTGTATCAGTTTGCAGAGACAACATTTGTAAACTAAAACTAGATAAATGCATTGTTGTACTAAAATATTCCCAAAGGTCCATGAAAAACAGGTTTAATTATGTTTAACTGCGTGCCGTCTGTCCGTTGTAAATAAACGGAAGGATGGCAACCTCCTGTCAGCGTGTGGATGTTACTGTACGTATTTTTTTTCTGCACGTGCGCGCACTAGGGAGCAGATTCCTGCAGAACATGTATACAGCAGTTACCGGATGCTCCATACAAGTGTTTGGGCGGCTCTACAGCCGTCCGATCGCTTGTATGTTAACAAAGAGTGTGCGGCTTCCCCTCCACTGAGCTGACCCCCCCCTCCCCCTCTGCTGCTGCTCTCCACCGCTGCTGCTGGTTATCCCAGGCTCCGCTGTCCCCCCATTGGGCCCTGGACTGGCACAGTGGCTGGTCACACTGTAAACGGAGGAGAGATCAGCATTCTCCTACTGCTGATCTCTCCTCTAAACTCTAAAGGCGGCAGTGATGTGTATTACACGTGTATTTTTTCACTTCCGCCTTTAGCTGTCATTTCTGGCTGCTATAGCCAGAGAAGAAGCTGGTGAAGCAGATCTCTGCTTCATCAGCTTCTTTGGCGGTCCCTAGGTAACATTAGAGGTCTTAGAGGCCCCTGATGTCTCCATAAAGAGGACTTGTCATTGTATATTTGCTATCACATAGGGGGCTTGTCAGACTAAGGCATAGAAGGCTGGACCCGCTGCACATTGCTGCATGATTCAAGGATGTTAATTGCAACTATAATACCTGAATGGCATACGCCTATGAGGAGATTAATAATAGAAAGTTCCATTGAACTATTTGCACACAGAATGTGATTGTGCGATCCAGGGAGGCTTTTTGCCCAATTAATTCATTTTGTTTTTAGGGAGTTGTGCTGATATACATCTCAGCATTAGTGGCGTTGTGTTAACGGTTTTTATTGTATATATTACTAATCAATAAATAAATTTTAATAAAGATATGTATTTGTTTGTTTATAATGTAATTGAATTACTAATGTGACACCTTAAAAGCCCCACTTTGAGGATTGTTGTATGTGTTTATTTTTTTAAAGCCAGCGCAACATGAAAAGTGGTCTTTTGCTTCCACTGTAAGGGTCCATTAACCCCCATAAGTAAATAAATAAGCACATTCACACTAGTGGATCATCGGTCCATGTGAACATCTGATTACTGCAGAGCAACCCAATCTAGTGTAAATCCAAGTGTGACAAACCAGTCTGCCAATCATGATTTATCACTGCAAAAAGCTGAGGAAGAACTACAAGCTTATTAGGAGTACAGTTACAATATTATTCCACAGTAAGTAAAGCTGCCTTTACAGCAGGGATACCAAATTCTGGTGTTCCAAGACAACAAAGAAAATAGAATAAATGAACTAAAGAAGAAGAGGCTATTTACTTAAAGTGAGTGTTAATTTTGCAACGAGTACGCTCTCTGTGAAAAGTGAATGTTAGCTTCTGTACACTTTTTATATTGCACACAAGACAAATTGGAAAAAAAAAAAACATTTTTTTTCTTGCACAATTATCAGATGTTTGAAGTGAGCAAAACTTCCCCTTAATTACTGAGCTAAGTGAAGGTTCACTTTGCAAATGTACGACATAAACTTAAAGGAGAACTATGAGGTGAGTGCTTTTCACTCACCTCATAGTTCTAGCCGACCTGTGACAATGAGACTGTCACAGGTCGACTCAGTAGATCGGGAGGTGAGCGAACACATACCGGGTTCGCTCGCCTCTCGATCCTGTCACGGCTCTCTGCCGTGACAGGGGGAGGGGCTGGATTCCCCTCTCCCCGCTCCGATCTGCCAGCGCTGACTGGCGGAACGGACGGGGGAGGGAGCGGGTACAGCTGGCTCTGCCTCTAGATAGGCAGAGCCAGCTGTCACTCACACAGCTGGGTGGATTCCGTCATCTACGTCGGGATCCACTCCGGCTGCGGCGTCTCAGTATTTACTGAGCTTAGGGTAACGGGAGGACGCTAGTTTGTGTCCTCCCGTTACCCTAAGGAGAACTATGGGGAAAAACACTGACCCCATAGTTCTCCTTTGTTCTCACAGTGCTACAAAAGATATCTGATATTTACCTTCATGAATGAGTTTGCTGGTCTTGTAAAGCATAGAGACCTATTTTGTAAATGGCTAAAACAATTTATTACTGTACAAGGCAACTGATCATTAGTTATATAATTTATACTACAGATTAATAGTTACATACTCTTCATATGGCTATATATTAGGCATTAAAGCAGAACTAAAGTCCACTGCATATACCTCCCCTCAAGCAATCTGACATCTGCAAACTCCCTCATCATCACTGACGTCTTCACCCAGTCTTCATCTGGGTTTGGAATCTTTGGCTCTCCTAATTGGTCAGCCCAAGGCATGCCGAGATGTACGGCTCAATGTACAATCTGAAGTAGAAGTATTTATTGCAAAGGAAATGTACAAGATATCTTCTGCAATAAAAGTCTTTCTGCTGGCATTTTTTCATGAACCCTCAAAGCTCTTTTCTCCTGTTACTCATTAACTGTGTCATCAGTTACTCAAGAAAAGTGTACTTCTTGTTAAATGAATGCTATGGCCTGATTTGCTTAAGATATAAGCTGCATTGTACATATGCAAAATTTCCTGTGGAATATATGCTCTGCTCCAGGGTCCAAATATACACAGGCCACCCTAAAGAAAAAAGTGTGCTTTCCTCTAAAGCTTTTTGGTTAGGAATTTTAAATGTGTATTATGCAGGAACAAAAATCAGTGAGAGTAAGAATGCCTTTGCGTATGTTATGTTATGAATATCACACTTGCACAAGATTAGAAATGCCTTCTATGACCAGGGCCGGTGCACATACACAATTTTATATACTGCTGCCTCTGAACAGGTTTCCTGTGACACATGCCTATACATATGCTGCCTGTTTTGCTCCAGCAACACAGTGTACATTCAATTAACCAGATGCTTTACCAGGCACATGAGCATTTCATTGCCAAGCAAGCCATTAAAAGCATTTTTTTTGACACATAGTGCAGTTCATTATAGCAAAATGCAGAAACGCAGCATTGTTTGGATGTTCAACAACTCATGGTAAACTAGGAGCTCTCTGTATGCCTTGATCATCAGTGCATGATCAGCTAGTGATATTCAGGGATTGCGCTTGCTTTGTGCATGGACATAAAACATCCTCATGTGAGCCTGCAATGCAAGCTTATTATAGTGATTTGTCCTAACTTACTTAAGTAAGTTAGGCCTAATATTGCTACAGGTTTACAAATCATTTGCATAAATCACTCACTATGCAATAAAACCTACCTAAAAAAAACTTGCAGAAAAGAGGCAAACAGAACAAACAGATGTTTTTTTTACCTCAATGATGCATAACAATGCTATTTTTGTAGATAGAATTTTAAATTGTGGTTGTTCTTGAACCACATGCATAAGATTTTTTTTATTGTTCAGTGACTTTCAGGAAAATTAATTGCGAAGATTCCTGCTTCGGACATTTATTTTTGAAATTGTACTTCATTCAGAACTTTTATGTACTGTTGGTGTCTCACACCATTCTCTTTATCGTTCTGATAAGCAGGGTGTCTAATTAATCTCTACAGACTGATCCCAAATATATATGCCTTTCTTTATGTCTCAACTCCTGTCATCAACATGACTGATTCCTTCTAACTAACAGTTGTCAATGGTTAAACCCAGCTTACCCTGGCAGGCAGAGACAAATAAATAAAATTATGAATTAACTACAGATCATGGGTAACCACAGCATAATATTGGCCTCTCTCTGTGGCACCTGGCCATGTCAACCAGAAAAATGCTGTTATTGATCTTACCCTGGTTTGGCTATGCCAGGTAGCAGGGTTGCTGTCAATATAGTTAGTACATTAATAGAGACCAGTTCTGTGGTAAGAGGTTCCTAGTGATTGTTTCTACCAACAATTACTCTATAACGCTGATAAAAACATCTTTAAACTCTGTTTTTTATACAACCTCAGCTTTCTTATCAGTTATTAGCTGGGTAGAAACTCTGAGATTTTTTTTACAGTCTTAAACCTATTAGGCATACAGATTTAATTTCAGAGTTCTGGCTGAGATGACAAAAAATTCTAAAGGCAATAAATTAACTCCCAGACGGGAAGAACAACCAGGCTGTATGTTTCCTTGCTACAGAGAAAGCAAGGAAGTGTGACTAGTGGCAGTTTATTCCTAAAGACTCCTACTGTGTGTCTGATGTCAGGTCAGTAGAATGGAGACTCCACAGGGGTTCAGGGTCAATGTCAACTGCAACCTCTCCAACCCTTGATGAAACAGTACTGGAAATGTGTTATCTTCCCATGCACACAAATTTTGTGTATTATTTGCCTCAACTGCCTCCCCAGATTGGGGCACCCACCTGCCCCCAGGCCCTATTGCAGCCACGTGGGGTTATAGTTATGCCAGTGAAACAAACTCACGTTTGAACAAAGAAAATCCATATTTCCTCCACGCAGATGTGACATTAAACCTTCATTTATTTAACTGTTTCTATTTATAGGGGCCAGACTTTCTTTAAAAAATGTTTCTTTCTTCTTTAAATTTTGTATTTCCTCGTTCTCTAGTGGTATCCAAACCACCAGCCCCACCCCCCTTGTACGGATGCCTCAATCAGCTAGCCGGCCACTGTGCAGTCACAGTATGACTAACAGCAGAAGGAGCATGTGACTCCTTTGCCCTCAGTACCCTTCCCCACAACCAGGAACTTTGGGGAGCC